CTGGTTTACAATGTAGATCTGATGTGTGCGTTTTATATTTTTTGTATTTTCACATTCTTCATTTTTTTGAAGAGCAAATGATGGAGGACAAAATACACATGTAATAAAATATATTTACAAAATAATAAAATGCTGGTACCACATATATTAGAGTATAAAAATATATAAACTATTAATTTCATTATTGTCGTTACTCGTTTTGTTTTGATAGAAAGTCACTTTTTTCTGAGTGACACTATATTGAGCTATTGCTTGTATCTCTGTACCTCTGAAATTTATGAATATGTCACATTTTCTTTGTTTCTTTGGTATATTATCAGGATTAGGAATATCAAGTATTTGCTCACTAATCTTATGTACTGTTAGTTTACCTTCTTTATCTACTATATACTGAACCCCATCATCTGATGTACAGTATATAGGGATATGAGCTTGTGTGTGAGAACGAGATACCGTATAGCTCCAAATTTTTGTCAGTCAAAAATTTCGTCAAAATCTTAATTTCTTGTTAAAATTAATTTTCGTCAATAAAAATTTTCGTCATTTTTGTTATTAATCTGCATGCTACCCACGTGGAACAAAAATTTCGTCAGTTAAAAATTTTGTCAAGCAAAGGTACCTGACGAATTTGACAAAAATTTTGACCAACGAAAATTTGGAGCTATACGGTATTAAGTGTAGCTTTATTATACAGTACTTCACCTTTTATCTATTTTCCTTTAAGTACAAACACTTTGAAAATTTTGCCATGCATAGCGTAACATATGCACTTCAGTCATTCTGAATTCATTAACTGTTAGACCCTTGCTTGGTTAGTGTTTCAAATTTATATTAAAATTTAAAAAGTCAGGGTGAAGTTAATCCATTCAAAAATTGGAATGTACTAAAGCAACACATGTGCTACAAACTGTAGTTACATATACATGTACATTCTCTCTCCTTTTATACTCAGTTATTTGTAAAGGGTCTAATGGGTTGTCCTCTTGAGGACAAGAGGATAGATCTCCCAGCCCTTTGTTTAGTGTTTCTAATATTCAATTGATTGTATTAAAATTTAATTAACTGTTACTACTACGTACAGCCTTTTGTAGAAAACTTGCCACCACCAGTTCTAGTCATGTGACAATGAGCCACTAGGTAGACTTAATATTTTATGAAGTCAAGTGATCAGACAGGTGCAGGTTTTGTGCAAAGGGCTGTACGGTATGTCCTGATTGTCCTCTATCTCCCAGCCCCTTGCTTGTTTATGTTTAACTGTTTATAATTAATAGTTTAAGACAGGGTTAAGTTAACCCATTCAAAAATTGTTACCTATAAGGGAAGTAGGATGCAGTGTGAATGTGTACTTACATTAAATTCCCTCTCCTTTTATACTCAGTTATTTGTAAAAGGCTATTGTGGGTCGTCCTCTCTTAGTCATCTGTTCTTTATTGTGGTTGACAGTTGACACTAGAGCAATTGCAGCAGGTCACTGCAGGTTGAATTAACTTCAATTCATTAACAGTGTTGCTATACAACATATTGTCCTGATTTCTTCCTCTATCCTTGCCTGTTTAAAATGTTTTAAATGTTTAATTGTTTTTATTGAAGGGTTAAGACAGGGTTAAGTTAACCCATTCAAAAATTGTATGATTTGTGTGACATGTATTAGACTTACTTGTCTTCAGTATTTCCTCTCCTTTTATACTCAGTTATTTATAAAAGGCTATCGTGGGTTGCCCTCTCTTCTCCTTTTCTTGTGGTTAACAGTTGACACATGACACTAGCCGCCCTGCATGAACACAATGTAATTTGTGTTGCTGTATTTTTAAATGCTTTAATGTAACCTTTAACTTCAGTCATTATTCATTTGTAAACCTGATACATCTACTACTACACTACATGTACTTACTGTAGTTATTATTATTATTATTATCATCATCATCATCATTATTATTATTATTATTATTATTTTCTATTACCTTTCATAGGAGGAGAAGGAAAGGATCAGTGGGCTATTCTTCCCTCTACTGACAATAACCCTCAGACACTCATCAAAGCTGCACAAAGGAAGAGAGGAACCTCCTCCCCTCACCCCATCCGTCCCTCCTACCCCAGGGACTGCCCCGCCCTTAACTCCGCCCAGTGACCCAGAACCTGCTAACACTGACGAAGGAACTGGTCCTCCTTCACTATTAAAGAAGTCATCCCAAGGGAATATTAAACTGAACCCTATTACAGGGGCAGCTCCTGGTATAGAGGCTATCAACCCTCTTGATATCACTGGTGATGATCAGTGTCCTGATGGAGAGGTATCTCAACCTTCTTCTCCCTCTCCTCTCTCTCCCTCTCTCTCTCCTGATCCTAATGTACCAGCTCCTCCTCCTGTTCCTCCTGTCTCTGTTAATGCGTGTAGTTTCAATCGGGAGGAGACCAGGGATTTATTGATCTGCTTTCTATTTGTCGTTAAACATTTGAATGACGGTAAGCTCCAATAATGATAACTTAATCACTGTTAGATTTAGAGGGAGTTTAGGAGACTTTTGGTCTCCCATATTTGGTCTGAAATGTACCATTTTTAGCCTTTGGGTGTCCCATTTTTAGTTAGATTAGTCTCCTAAAAATTTATTTTTATTTGTAACAATTTGTAATACTGTACATGTACATGTACAACATTGTATATTTTTTGTATATTTAGAACAGTTTGATCTGTAGCACAATGTTCTTATGGATGTCTTAAATTTTGTTTATTTATTTATTTATTTATTTATTCTCTTCACTAGATGTTCTCAATCAATGGTGGCAGGATTGTGTTGACGCTCCTGTTCCTTTATCAAGGACCTACTCTCTCTCCAATAGGCTGGAGGACCAGGCCCCAGTGGGAGGGGCTGGGGGTGGAGCTTACAATGAGAGCAATGAAATATCAGCTTTCTTTGATATACTAGAGTAAGTATTTTTAAATTTATTTATTGATTTATTTATTTATTTAGGTCTTGTGCTCATGTTTTTGAATATTCTGGAAGAATATCAATCACTAAGAAATGGTGAGCTACACTTACTCACATGTACTTATTATTACATTAATCCCACGTATTGTACATGGGTGGTATGTGAGACTTTTTTAATTGCTATAACACAAAAAGTTTTAGTCGGAATCAGCTCAAACTTGCTACACAGCATAAGGACATCAGTATGTATTAGAAAATGTAATAAAAACTTGGGGTGATTTTGGAGCCATTTTTGACCATACATGTAAATGAAAAGTTTTTAGTTCCAATTATTATTATTATTATTATTAATAGGTCGTCTCGTTCAGTTGTATTAAAGCGACTAGAAGAAATGTATACGACTGATGAAACATAAAA